CTCCACACCACACACACACACACAGAGAGAGAGAGAGAGAGAGAGAGAGAGAGTTGGCAGCTGTCCATCCCCCACCCTTGGAGTCCCGATGGCACGCACGCGGGGGCTGTCACAAAGAAAGGGAGAGGAATTGAGTGCCAGCCTGAGAAAGGCGAAGCTGCCTCTCTAAAGCATTTTGGTGGCTTTGTAAGTTTGGGGGAAAGGGGTTGGGGGTGTCAATCAAGAATTATATCCAGAATACCCCAAGTGTTACAACTTACCGTATTTGCCGGCGTATGAGACGACTTTTTTGCCTTGAAAAGCATGCCTCCAAGTGGGGGGGTCGTCTTATACTGCGAGTATATAACAAAAACTATATTTTGAGTGGAAATGTTGGGGGCTCGTCTTATACGCCCAGTCGTCTTATACGCCGGCAAATACGGTATATTGAATTCCAGTATGACGTGGTTTTATCCTACCAGATTTCTGTAATGGCAACTATGTCATACCTACCCTGGTGTACTATTGTTTCTAGTTCACCCTGTTTGTTCCCCAAGCTTTGAGCATTTGTATATAAGCATTTACGACTTTGATACCTATCCATGGCTATAATTCCTGCATCTCCTAATTGAGTTTTTCTTTTTTTCTTACCATTCCCTCATTATTTGATTTGTTTTCTTGGGATTTATGGCTGATTTTATATTCTAGAGATTCTAAAGATTGGTCACCCTCTCCCCTCAATTTTAGTTTAAAGCTCTTCTGATGAGTTGGACCAGTCTTTTTCCAAATACATTTTCCGCTGTTTTCGTGGGTGCAACCCTTGGCAGAGTCATTCTTGTAGGTAATGTAATCCATGGTCCAGGAAACCAAAGTTTTCTTCAATACCAATCATTGATTTATTTCTAGAATTCTTTTTTCTCTCAATGGTACCTTTCATTGGGAGTACTGATGATATACTACTTGTGCTCCTAGCTCCTTAACTTTGTCACCTAGCTGCTTATAATCTTTCAATATTGTACTTAGGTTCTTTGTTGTGTTATTTGTCCCAGTGTGAACGAGGAGGAAAGAGTAATAAGCTGTGGGCCTAATTAGGTTCTCAGCCACATCTTTAATTTTTGCTCCAGGGAAACAACATATCTCCCTAGATTGTATGTCTGGTCTACAGATGGTTGGTTCTGTTCCTTTGAGAATAGAATCTCCTACCACCAACACTCGCCTTCTTTTTTTAAGGAGTGCAGTCTGGGGTACTTTTCTGTTTATCTCAGGTGTATTTGTTGATATGACTATTTTTAGGGATATTTGATGATGTCTCTTTTCTAGGTGTCTGTTTTCTTTGGTGGGGGGATGTGGGCCTGCATATTTTCATCAAGGGGGAGAAATCGATTGCTCAGTTTTAATGGGGCTATTTCTGTTTGGGTTAGATTGGGCAGTAGGAGTTTATTAGATGTATGCTGATTTTTTTCTTTGATTATTGTTTCCTTCTATGTGTGACATACCTCCATTTATCTTCATCCAAGGGTTTATCAGCAGGGTCAAATTCTCTGGGAATTATTTGTTCATTATATGGTTCGATTTGGGTATAGCTTTCTTGCGTAGGTTGAAGTTTGGCTAGAGTTGCCTCAAGATTCCTTTTCCTCTAGCAGTTCACATAGTTTACATTTAATACATGTATAATTTGGGTGTTCTTTGGACATAAGCACATAGATGGAACATATATTACATACCACAGTTACATGCTCCATGAGTTTGTTTCTTTTTGCTGGGTTTTTTTAGAGTAAAAAAAACATGTAAAAGTTGGAGATTTTATCTCAATATTTGTGTCAGCCTTCAAGTTCTTCCTCCTTTCCTTTGCTTCTTTCTGGCTGCCATAAGTAACAGGGGGGGGGGGGGGGGGGGGGTGGGGGGGGTGGAAAGTGTTGAAAGTGTTAATAACTAATATTGTATGAACTGGGGAGGGTTTCTCACTCCTGCTTAGCTTTCTCTTCTCTGCGCAACTGCAACCCTTTATCTGAGTAAGCCAAGGTCAACTAATCATCACCACCTGGAGATGTCCGCATGATGTAGTTCACAACATTTAATTGGAAGAGCCATTTGAACTGTTGGGGGTGGGAACATTTCACTCCCTTGATATATGTGATGTGAGTGCCTAATTACCCGGATTCAGAATTTTCTTGTTGCTACCACTAACTTCCAGTAAAAGACATCTTTTCTCTAATTACAAGAGTCTAAGTATTTCTTTCCTGGATTTCGAACGGAGCAGCAGCTGACAATTTGTTTGAAGAAAGAGATAAAAAAAAGTTTTAAAATGTTTATTTTGGTGGTTCATTTAAGGATGTGGAAGATTTTGCCACAGTTTTCCAGAAGAAAAAATTAAGTTAATAGTTTAAAAATGTAATAGTTCATTTAAAGTTTTCAAAATTTAAAAGTTTTAAGGTTTAAAAATTTAGAATTTGAAAATCCCTTTTTTTGGTGAGTGGATGTGTTTTGCTCTTAGCCTTGTTTCTACCTTCTCTGTTTCAGATAATTATCCCTATTTTTTTTCTATCCTTTTTTTCTGTCTATGTGCTCATTTTTCTACCTTATTATTTATGTAACTTGCTTACTATTATGTTAGTTTTATTTATCCTTTTCTTCCCTATATTTTTTACAGTTTTTGAACTTCAATTCCTTCCTACCTTATTATTTAAGATTTGCCTTAAGATTGATCTTTGTTAATCCTATTCTTCCCTGATTTCTAATGTTCTGTTCTTGTCCTTATTATTTGATTATTTATTTGTCCTTTATTTTCTGTCCTGTGCTTATTTTTATTCTCTACTAGGGTTTCCCCTCCCTTCCTATTGGGACCTCAAGCTTAATTTTTGCCTTCACTTGCGTCGATTGCTGCTTTGGCATCTTGTTTTCTCTGCCAGCTCTCTTCTGTCCTTTGGTGTTCGGGTCTTTTCAGCCTAGTCTTTGCTCTGGTCAGCTCTCTTGGCCTGCTGTTCAGCTTTCCGGTTGGCTCAGCTCTGCCATTTGGTCTGCTCCGCTCAACCCTCCACTCATCTTTAAAGATCAGATTTCTCTAACTCCATGCCTCTTTGCTGCTGTACTGCTTGTCTCTGCTGCTACGGTCTCCCCTCCACTGATTCTGCTGCTGCGTTTCTCCCTTCTTCCAATTCTGCCACCACCAATTTCTCACAGCCACTGGTTCCCTCTGCTGGATGGGTTGCTCCAGGCCCTTTGTCTTCTGCCAGACATGCCACTAGGAATGGCTGCTGGGCTAGCAGGAGGCGGGTGTGTGTGTGGTTGTCGGGGTGCCTCTAGTTTCCTAGGCCCTGGGACCTGCGATGACTGCTGCCCCTTCAATCTGGGCTGCCTAAATTGGAGTCTAGGGCTATGCAATTACCGAATATACTGTGACCCACTGGTTTGCTGCCTCTAACAGCCTCCCTTCTTATCTGCTGTTCAGCTACCGGATCGCTGCTCTCAGTTGCATCTTTTCCAGCAGTCTGCTACTTAGTTGGGTTTCTGAGCTGAATCTTTTGTTTTGTGCTATCTTCAACTCATGTGCAACCATTCATTTGTTACACTGCTGTTTTGCTGGCATTTTTCTCCTTACCCCAATTTTTTTCTTCCTTTATCCTTTCTATCTTTCTTATCTAACTTTCTGCTCCTTTTTCCTCCCTCCCCCCTTACACTTTCCTACTTAATTTAATAACTTCATAATTAATATTCGCCTTCTCCTATGCCTTGGTTTTTATATTTTAATACTGTTTTTATATTTTAATACATTTCTTGTTTTAGATATTTTTGCACGCTGTCCAGAGTCACTATTTGTGAGATGGGCAGCCTTATAAATCTGATTAAATACATACATGCATAAACATAGTTTCAAGATTCAAAGCACACTTTTGCTGTTGCAAACTTCTCAGCTTGTGAATGAACTGGGGGGGGGGGGGGAGATGGAATGAAGATTCCGGACATCAAGAAGAGAAGCGTGAGAGCCAAGAACATTCCAGCATGTGTTTGCAAAAGGCAAATGCTTTTTCTCACAACAAGATTGTGAGGCTCAATTGGACAATGTGACCTTTACTAAAGGGGGAGGGAGAATCCTATACTTTAATTATGTGGGTTTGCATGGGAATTAGTTAGATCTGATTTAAATCTAATCAGTGCCAAAATGACGTACTCAATATATCAAGTTTTGCATTCAGAGATTGGATTGTCTTGCTTGTGCTTGCTTGGTTGGGTTCGTCAGTCGGAACATTGACATTAAACCAGATCTCCCAAATTAACAAAGGACAAGGGTGTCCTGGGTTTCCACAGCCTGGCTGGTCACCTCCGGAAGAGCTGTGAAGACCCAGGAGAAGATATGCGGGGTGGAAAGTAAAGGAGAGCAGATGGCCAAGTCCAGGACCCCAGCGGCAGGCCAGGTGGATTTTGGCACCCAGATGTGGTAACCCATGCGAAAGGGCAAGCAGAGAAAACTCAACAGCTAGCAGCATGGGAGGAGGCCGTGCCTTGGGGACTCTGTCAGGCGAGCAAGGAGCTGTGGTGGGGTGTGATTAAAGTATAGAATCTTATAATTATGTGGGTTTGTGCGGGAATTAGTTAATCAGTGCCAAAATGATGTACTCAGTAAAGTTTTGCATTCAGAGATTGGATCATCTAGTTTGTGCTTGCTTGGTTGGGTTTGTCAGTTGGAACATTGACACATAGTTTGATAAGTAAATAAATAAATACACACACACACACACACACACACACACACTTGCAGTTGAGTCATATATACAAATTTGGTAGGAGGAAATATTTTCCAAATTAAATTTTTTGGAAATTGGCAATCTTAGATTGGCAAACCTAGGCAGAAAATCTGGGCAATTCATAGGACTTTTTTTTGTGTGGATTTATAAACAATTTTCTATTTACAATTTTCTATTTAGAGGGGAATGGCTTAAAATCATGGTATTTGCCTTTCAGTTATATACAATACTATGGTTACATTATCTTGGATCTGTTTTCCATTCTCATTTTCTTTTCAGAAATCAAATGGGACTCCATTTGCTAACAGTGATGCCTGTTTTGCTCTAGCCTATGCAGTTATTATGCTGAACACTGATCAGCACAATCATAATGTTCGCAAGCAGAATGTACCTATGACATTAGAGGTGAGATATTTCTTCTTCCTGGGATCTGCTAACCTGAATATTTTGACTTTTTTTTTGATGGTGTCTTGGGCTTTATTAAGATTATATTTTCATCCTCAGCTTTCTTGTTCCTATTTCTTTTATTTTCAATAAAAGGATCAGGAAAATATTTAAAATTAGAATATAGTAAAATAAAGTTCTTATAAAAAGCGCTAAAACAAATTCCTTACTGTAAGAATCCAGAGTAAATAAGATCACTTTCACTATGTAGGAAAAAATCTTCATGCCATTGACTTCCTTGTGATAAAAACAAAAGTGTTTCGTTGTTCCAGAAAAAAAAGCAGTATTAAAGAATAAAAACTTCATGTTTATAATGCACCAAAGTGTGTGTGTAGGGGGGTGGGTGGGGTAAGTTTAGTTCAGCATTCCACCAGATGTTTAACATTTAAAATGTAAAGCAAAAAGAAAAGAAAAGAATTTCACATTTGGAGGCATGCTTAAAATTTTGAACAACTAGAATATTAATGATTAAAATGACGATATGTCAAAAACCAATGCTATTAGTAGTTATATATACTCCCAATGACAACCAGAAGGAGTTTTACAGTAAATTGCATGAAAAAAATTATTGGAATAGGACAAGGGAATATATGTATAGTTGGTGATTACAATGTAATAGTGGACATTAAAAACAATTATGTTAGTAATAAAAAAACACAAAGAAAAAGAAAACTTTACCAGCAGCCTTTTTTGAGATGACAGACAAACTGAATTTGATAGATATGTGGAGGAATTTAAAACCAAAAGAGAATAAATTCACTTTCTATTCCAATTCCCACAAGTCATGGTTAAGGATTGACATAGTTTGGATGAATGGGAAAATGAGGAAAGAGATAGAGGCAATAAAAATAATGCCAAACATGGACTTCCAGGTTGAGCCCTCCTCGCCGACAGACTGTAGATCATGACTGTCCATGGCTATGGTCCATGCTCTTTCGTTGGAGAGCCCCAATCATTGCGATTAGGGCTGAAGCTGCCTTGGAGGGGCGGTGGAGTAAGGGGAAGCGGCCAGCCAGGTTGAGGGGAGCTGCATCTCCCCTTCTGGGCTTGGTCTTTTTCCCCCCGAAGACGACTGAAGCAGTGGTCCAAAATGGCCACCCTGAAGAGGAAGACTTAGCTGGACTAAGATTTGTGCAGGAGTGAAGAAAGAGGTGGATAACATTTGAGCCGGGACAATTGGACGAAACAACCAAACAAAAAGTACCCTGGGATTAAGGTAACATTGAACTTTTAAGAAAAGAAAAGTGAGCGGCGAAAATACAAAGGGACAGGGAAAAAAATAAGAAAATAATTTTGACAGCTAAGTGGGGCTTTGAACCCGGAAAGGAAGAAGCCGGAACTAAAGACTTAATTAAATTGGATTAAAATATTTTGGCAATAAACAGGCATAAAATAAAGCTGGACTTAAGATTGTCAAATAATAATAATAATAAAATTTACAAATTGGAGACTGGATTGCTTTGGAATATTGAGGTTCGAAAAACCCTAAATAATAAAATAGGGGGAAAAGGCATAACGGAGAGTGCCATCTTGTGGACAAAAACTTAAATTCAAACAAAAGGGAAATCATCCTGTTTCTTTATGAACTTGTGTTGATACAATGTTAAAGAAATATTGAAACAAAGTAAGAATCTTAGAAAGTGAAAGCTGAACCAGAACAAAGAAAGAAGCAAGGAAAGACTGACTGCGGGATTGATTGATGTTTTTTGGTATAGACCCTGGGTTGGAACAATTGAGAACTTTAGAAAACTTGAAGAAGAAAGAAGGAAAGTAAAAGGTTTTTTTTTTTGTGGATTTCAACGATTATAAAATATAAGAGTGTGTAATGATGATATCTCTTCGGGAATTAAAAATGGAACTTAAAAATATGAAAGAATTACTACAGGAAAGAGGCGAATCACTTTGCTCTGTGTTAGAAGAAATGGAAATGGCGATTGAAGAACAAAAAGAAAGAACTTCAGAGGAGGAGGAGTCGGCTCAAGGAGAAGCCATCTTAAATAGACAATTAACACAAAGAACACTAGAAGGAAGGCTAAAAAGTTGAGATTTAAGAAGGTAATTAAAAAGGGGAATACCTGTGAAATCAGGAGAGGTAGAAAGATGCAGCAGAAAGGGGGAAAGCAAGATATCAAGAAAGAGAGGGACATAAACTGGAATGAGAAAAGATATGGGGAAAAGAGGGGGAGGAGAGGCAGTAAGAAACAGGTGCAGGAAATAAAGAAACAGAAATAGTAAAATGATGAAAAGAAATTGTTTTTATAGAGATAATGGCTGATGAATTAAAAAGGGGATTCTGCAGGGTGACAAGGGGTAACAAGAATATATTTGCAATTAAAAAATACTTAGAAAATAGGGTAATATAGATTATCAAAGGAGGGATAGATACTGATAACTCTTATTGGGTGAATATACATTTTTATCTTTATCTTTTAAAAAAAGTTAAGGGAAAAGTTAAGGGCTTTGAACCTGGAAAGAAGAAATTGAAGAAATTGTAGTAACTGAAATGAATGTGAAGATGTTTAAAAATGAGGTCAATATCAGTGACCAGGAATTAAATAGTCAATTTTTCCCTTTTACTCTTTTGAAATTAGAAATAAAATTAAGGGGAGAAAATATATTGCAGAATCCAAATGAAAAGATGTAATGATTATTATTGTAACTACTTAAAAATAAAGGTTTATTGGGAATTAAGATGAGGGAATAAGGGTATATTTTAACCACTGAGGTGTCACACTCAAAGCATTATAAGGGGGGAAACGTATGCTTGTTTCTTTTTCTCTTGTGTTAAAACTTGTATTAATCTAGAATTTATAGAAAGAATGTGTGATGAAAAGAAAATATGACAGATTAAAGAACTATTTAAATTAATAAGCTAATACAGACTATTAAAAGGAAGGAGAGACATTAGTAACCTTTTTTTAATTAGGAAAACATATTGTTATTTTTATTCTTAAAATAAATATTAAAGAATTATATTTGGAATAATTGAAATGAAATGAAAGGATGTTCGGATTGAGATTAATGTAAGAGATTAGGATTAATTTGCTTGTTTTTTTTTCTTTTCTGAAAGTTTGGAATGGAAAAGGTAATAATAGAATTAAGTATGCATATATGAATGTATAACTATTGTCATATCTGTATGTAAAAGTGATGATCCAGAAATATGTGTTCCACTAAAAAGAGCTTTTTGTTTTTATATGAAAAATTGAATAAAACTTGTTAAAAAAAAAAAAAGAAATAATGCCAAACACATGGGCAGACCACAACCCCCTCAAAATAACCTGGAGAGATCAAAAGAAAAAAGAAGATGGACATTGAATCCACAGATTTTAAAAGAAAAAGAATATTTTCAAAGGATTAAAAAAGAATTGGAACTATTCTTTTTAAAAAATATGAAACAACATACATCATTATGGGATATCATACAACTTATGGGATACCATGAAAGCATATATATGCGGAATAACAATAGCATATACGGCGAAGAGAAACAAAGAGAAATGGAGACAACATAATACATTACAGGAGGAGATTAAAAAATTAGAAACCCAATTACAAATAAAACCACAGAATGATCAAATTAAGGAGGATATGATTTTAGCTAAACATAAACTAAATATATTAGACAAAGAAGAAAATTCAAGAAATCTAAAATTTATAAAACAAAACTTTTTTGAACATGCAAAATAAACTGGGGAGATGGCTGCCTTATAAATTAAAGAGAGAGAGAGAGAAAGGATAATACAGCAGTTGCAGGATGAAAATGGGAATTTACAACATAATATGGAAGAGAAAAAAAGAATTACACAAAATTTTTTGAAGGTCTCTACAAACAAGAAGAAATAGCAAAGGATAAAATAAGACATTATTTGAAAGTGGAAGGTTATTCGATAGCAGAAGAAAAGAGAAAAATGCTAAACAAGGAAATAACACTAACAGAACTGAAAAAGGTAGTGCAAAAGCAGACAAATATCAAAACTCTGGGGCCAGACAGACTTCCACAGGAAATATATAAAAATATGGGCGAATTGCTAGAGCTGTTAATGTTGGAAGTGTAAAATGACGCATTGATGGAGCAAGGCTACACGAATCTTGGAGGGAGGCATATATCTCCTTGATACCGAAAGAGGGTACAGATAATAAACAAATAAAAAACTACAGGCCCATCTCACTGCTAAATACCGACTACAATATTCACAAATATAATAGCAGAAGGGATGAAAAAATTATTAAATGATACATCCCGATCAAAATGGATTTTTGCTGACAAGACAGATTAGGAATAATACAGGAATGGTAGTAAACATACTGGAGTACTATGAAGCCGATCCAGAAAAACAAGCTGCTCTAATTTTTCTGGATGCCCAAAAGGCTTTTGAGAATCCAAATTGGCAGCTTATGATCCAACAAATTAAAGATATGAACCTTGGAGATAAATTTGAAAAAATGATAGAGGCAATATATACCACTCAAAAGGCGAGCATAATATTAAACAGGGATACCACAGGGACATTTAAGATAACGATAGGAATAAGACAGGGATGTCCGTTATCACCTCTACTTTTTATCCTGACATTAGAAGTATTATTAATTTGAATTAGACAAAACCCAGGAATAAAAGGAACTAAAATAAAAAAAGAATACAAAATCCAGTCATTCGCAGATGAGCTGGTATTTTTCATAGAAGAGCCAATGGAGACGGGAACTATTTTAATACAAGAGATAGAAAAATATGGAGAGGTGAAAGATTAGGAAAAAACACTATATGAAAATACGATGATCTATCCCAAGATTTAGATTTAGGTAAAATGGTTAGGTATAATGAAATATTAGATAACCTGGAGAAATTAAAAACTAATCAGGAGTTGAAAGACCAAGGAATAATTATAGATTGGTGGCCATATCTTCAGCTACAAGCGAGATATATAAAAGACGCAAAAGAGTATGGATTCGATAATGAGTTACAACAATTAGGTAAAATTTTAGTAGGCCTGGAGGAGACATTTATAAAAGGAACATATAATTACTTGTTAAGATTTGATATGGAAGAGGAAGTAGTAAAAGGGCTCATGATAGCACAGGCAAAATTTTTTGGACATAACAGAACGAGAAGACTGGGAAAAACTATGGAGTAAGAATTATACATTAACAAGGTCCGCAGCATATAAGGAGAATCTTTATAAGATGTTTTATCATTGGCATTTGGCACCAATGAGATTGGCAAAGATGTATCCCAATATGAATCCAAGACGCTGGAAATGTAAACAGAGCCAGGGTACCTTCTTTCACATGTGGTGGCTATGCCCCGAAGCCAAAAAATACTGGGCCAAAATACGGAGTTGGTTGTAAGAAATAATGAAATGTCAAGTAGACTTCAAACCTGAACTGTTCCTTTTAGGAATAATTAAAGGGAAATGTAGTAAAAAGATCAAATATATGATATTACACATAACGACAGCGGTGAGGATTACATTTGCACAATGTTGGAAGCGAGATAGTGTGCCACCGGAGGAATTAGCAATCCAAAAGATATTAGAATGTGCTGAGATCGACAAACTCACTCTAAAGCTAAAAGGCAAAGAAGAGTCAGAGAACCATAGGCCTGGGATAATTGGTATGAATGGTTGAGTAGTAGGAATAAGAATAGTAGAGATAAGAAAAATGTATATAAATGAATATAAATAAATATAAACATATGTAGATTTGTATATGTAACACCAATGCCACAGTGTTGTTAAAGATGAGAATGAGATATGTAAATGTGAAAAAGCATAATAAAAATAAATAAATTAAAATTCAAACAATTAATAGGAAAAGGTGGAGATCTGACTCTCCGGCCATAGAGCCAGCTATCGTGCCAAAACCAACTGTTTATCAGAAGGGAAAATAAAACTATTAGAGCACCATTTTCAGAGGATCCCTTTGCTTCTATTTTTATGCTGTTTTTTTTTTTTGAATTGTAGTATCTTAGAAACTAATCCCAAAATGTTCCAAAGATGTGTTGCTTCTGAATTTCATAATAAAATATTCAAAGCTTATTTGCAGAATTCAGAATTCTGTATAGAATGTTGTACTTTCATTGCTAATTACAGGAATTCCGAAAAAATCTGAAAGGAGTAAATGGTGGCAAAGATTTTGACCAAGAGATGTTAGAAGATATATATTATGCTATCAAGTAAGTATAAATTAATCATTGGAAGGAGGGAGTTATCAGAGCAATCTGATTTTTTTTAAAAGTTAATTTGATGTAGTGGCTAAAGGGCTAGCCAGTAGACAGTGAGTTCTAGTCCTGCTTTAGGCATGAAAAACTGTATGTGTGTCTTTGGGCTATTCAGTCTCTCAACCCAACTCACCTCACAGAAATTGTTGTGGGGAAAATAGGAAGAAAGAAGCATATTGATACATTTACCACTTGGTGTTATATATGAAAAAAGTGGTATAAAAATGAAATAAAATAAATCCTAGCATGTTTTCTACAGTGCATCTTAATTGATCATTTAATGTTTCTATATTCATCTGTATTCATCTCTGATAGAAATGAAGAGATCGTGATGCCCGATGAGCAGACAGGTTTAGTAAAAGAAAACTATGTATGGAGTGTGTTGTTGCATCGTGGAGCTACTGAAGAAGGAGTCTTTCTGCATGTTCCATCTGGCAGCTATGATCATGACCTCTTTGCCATGACCTGGGGACCTACTGTTGCAGCTCTTTCCTATGTTTTTGACAAGAGCTTAGATGAAACAGTCATCCACAAGTCTATTTCTGGTTTCAGGTAACACTCCATCACAGTCTACAAAATTATTTTATGTACCATCTCCTTATTTTGACATCCAAAAACTTTGGATGCGTGCTGATGTTTTCCACAAAGATATATAGTATTTAACAATGGCCTGTATAAAATGGGTCCACTGGTCTTCGATGTCTACCAGTGGTGGGGTTCAACTTTTTTTACTACTGGTTCTGTGGGCGTGGCTTGGGCATGGCATGGCTTGGTGGGCGTGGCAGCGGAAGGATACTGCAGAATCCCCATTCTCTCCCCACTCCAGGGGAAGGTTACTGCAAAATCCCATTCCCTCCCCACCCCATCCCACTAATCTGCTTTCCAGCTCTATTGTCCTGTGCAGGGCAACAAAAGAAGACCCAGCTGATCAGCTGGGACTCGGGAGGAAGAGAATAGATGGGGGCAGGGGCAGTCAGAGGTGGTATTCCAAGTTACTCAAAATTTTCGCTACTGGTTCTCCGAACTATTCAAATTTCTGCTACCGGTTCTCCAGAACTGGTCAGAACCTGCTGAATGCCACCTCTGATGTCTATGCTATCATGCAGTAGCTATTGAAATCTGTTAGTCAATGTAAGTTGGAACTGCACAACAACTGCAGCATCCTTCAATTGCTTGAGTGCAATAGGGCATATTGTTTGGCATTGTTGTATTTTCTTTAACTTGAGTCAGAGTGACACCATGACCAGGTAATGGTCTGAGTTCACATCTGATCCTAGTAGGTATAATACGTCAAGCAACACTGAATACCACTGCATATAAATACATATATAGTTGATTTTGTTGCTTGTGGAACTGTCAGGAGAGTGCCATCTTGCCTTGAGAATGCAGTTATGTTCAAAAAACACTTCAAAAAAAAAAAACTTGAATCAGCCAGCCCCCAATATGACCTATGAGTTTAGTAATGCAGATTGCATTGCACTACTGGATATTGAACTGAGCATAATTACAATCTATGAAGTTCAATGTTCAAATAGTGCCTTGAAGCTTAAAGCTGCCAACATAGATGAGATCTTGACAGAACTTTCGAAAGCTGGTGGAGATCTGGTAATGGAGCTCATTAGATTATGAAACATGCGTTGGCACACACAATGCTTTCCTGACAATTGGCAAAAGAGAGTTATTGTTAAAGCTTCCCAAGAAGGGAACGCCAGAGTCTATAATAACTGAAAAGTTATCACTTTTCTTTCCGTACCTGGCAAAGTGTTCCCAATCATTCTCCTTAGGCTCCTGCAAGGAGAAATTGATAAAATGCTATTGGAGGAGCAGTCTGGGTTTCATCATGGCCATTCACACCCTGAACAAAAGTTCACTTTCTTTATATATATATGTGTATGTGTATGTATGTATGTATCTATGATCTATGTATCTATGTTTGTATGTATGTATATGTATGTATATATATGTATGGTATTCAGCTTTGTTCGGGTATTTTCCCACATCATTATAGTTGTTCGACAAACACTATACAGAAGCCTGGTGATGGCAGATGAGATTCTGCCGAAACGTTGCTACAACTTTAAAAGCACAAGTATAATGACGTGGGAAAATACCCGAAAGCTGAATACCATACATATAAATACCCACAAAAACTTAAGTATATGTATGTATGTATGTATGTATGTATGTATATAATTTATATTGCCACCTATTCGCCCATGGCAACTCGAGGTGGCTTACAGAATGTAAAACCATATTTAAAATAAAAAACAATAAAACTAATAAAAAGAATCAAATAAATTAATAAAATACAATAGAACAAAATCTGGAAAAAATAAATAAAAAATCACCCCCAACTCCCAACCCCTGCCCCAATGACAGCAGATCACACGAGCCATTTGATGGGCTTCATCCCGCTCTGAGTTTACCAGGCCCACTGGCACAACCTGGTCTTCAGTGCCTTCCAGAAGAGTATTAGAGAGGGGGCCATTCTAATCTCTGGGGGAATGATGTTCCACAGAGAGGGAGCCACCATGGAGAAGGCCCTTCTGGGTCCCACTAAGTGTATCTCCCTCAGGAATGGGACCTGCAGCATTCCCTGCCTCCCCTCTCTAATGGGTCAGGTAGATGTGACCGACAAGATACGTTCCCTCAGATAACCCAGTCCCAAGCCATGAAAGGCTTTAAAGGTGACAACCAGCACCTTGAATTGCACCTGGAAGCAAATTGGCAACCAATGCAGCTCCCACAGGAGAGGTGAAACATGTGCACACCAGGGTCTGAACAAAACCATGCGGGCAGCTGCATTTTGCACCAACTGGAGCTTCTGGGTGTTCTTCAAGGGCAGCCCCATGTAGAGCATGTTGCAATAATCAAGACAGGAAATGATTAGGGTATGTGTGACTGAGTAGGGACCGTTGGTCCAGGAAAGGGTGTAATTGGTGCACCAAAAATCTATGCAACATTATTGAGCAGTGTATCAAATTCCACTGATCACTTGCTATAAATTTTATAGACTTCAGGAAGACTTTTGATAGCATACAACGGGACTCCCTGTAGAACCTGTGTAGAATATATGCAATCCTTGATCAATTTATTAACCTCTTCAAAAATCTGGATCATAACAGAGTTGCTGTGTAAAGATCAGTAGTGGAACCACCAACTTTTCGAACATTGATATTGGTGTTAGACAAGGCTGCATTTTATCACCCTTTCTGTTTTTCCTCATCATATTCCAGCTGTCAGTCCTGCCCCGACTTGGTCCCTTAAGAAAGAAAGATCTTAATTTCATTTGTAGTGAAAAGGCCAAGTGGTTTACAGTATAGGAAAGCCAGAACTGAGTATCTGCACCAACTTTCCCCGGTTAACTTTCCCCCCTTAGTTCCTTCCCATTACTGATTTCTCATTGTCCATTCAATTTTAAAAGAGATGTTTTGGAAACAGTCGTTCTGTGGATGGGGTGGGCTTCAAAAATTTCAGCAACTGGTTCTCTGCCCAGTTGCTGGGTGGGCGTGGCCTAGTCAGCCTCCTGCACCACAGCAAGATCCAGAGGCCTCTGGAGGCTGGAAATGGGTCTTCTGGAGCCTCCGGCAGGCCCATTTTTCACCCCGAGCCTCCGTGTGGGCCCTGTACTTACCTGGGATCCAAAACAGGCCTCATGGAGACTCCTGGGAGGGGCTAGGTGGTAGGTGAGGCCAGCCAGGGGTGGGATTTGCCAGTTTGCTAAACCAGCCATAAAATTAGCCAAGGGTTTGCCCGAACCAGGGTGAAGCGGTAGCAGCCCATTGAAGTATTGAAAAGGTACTTTTACTGAGTTTGAAATGATAACAGCGAAAGCAAAGCAAGATCTGAGCCAAAAAGTGTGAAAGTTACATATTGAAACCCAGTTCTTGCAACTGTTCTTCATATGTTTTAGTCTATAGGCCTTTAACCATCTTAGTTGTGCTTCTCTGCATTTTTTCCAAAGTCTCAACGTCTTTTTTATCATGTGGTGACCAAAACTGGATGCAGTATTCCAGATGTGGTCTTACTAAAGTTTTATAAAACGGTACTAATATTTCATATGATTACTGCACATTGCTGGCTCATATTTAAGTGATTGTCCACTGGGGCTCCAACGTCACCCTCACTATTTATTTACTTACTTATTTAATTTATATTGCCTGCCTATTCGCCCATGGTGACTTGAGGCAGCTTACAGAATGTAAAACCATATTTAAAATAAAAAACAATGAAAACTTACAAAAAGAATCAAATAAATTAATATAGTACAATAGTACAAAATCTGGAAAAAATAAATAAAAAATCACCCCAACTCCTAAACCCCGCCCCAACGACAGCAAATCACATGAGCCATTCGATGAGCTCCATCCCGCTCTGGGTTTCCCAGGCCTGCTGGCAGAACCAGGTCTTCAGTGCCTTCCGGAAGAGTGCTAGAGTGGGAGGCCATTCTAATATCTGGGGGAATGATATTCCAGAGAGAGGGAACCACCACGGAGAAGGCCCTTTTTCTGGGTCCCACCAGGTGTATCTCCCTCAGGGATGGGACCTGCAACATTCCCTGCCTTCTCGCTTGAATGGGTCAGGTAGATGTGACCAGCAAGAGACGTTCCCTCAGATAACCCAAGCCATGAAGGGCTTTAAAGGTTGACAACCAGAACCATGAATTGCACCCAGAAGCAAATTGGCAACTAGTGCAGCTCCTGCAGGAGAGGTGAAACGTGCACTCCGGGGTCTGCACAAAAACATGCGGGCCGCTGCATTTTGCACCAACTGGAGTTTCTGGATGTTCTTCAAGGGCAGCCCCATGTAGAATGTATTACAATAATCAAGACAGGAAGTGACTAGAGCATGAGTGACTGTGAGTTGGGACCGTTGGTCCAGGAAAGGGCGTAACTGGTGGATAACCCGCAGTTGCACAAAGGCCCTCCTGGCCATGACTGTCACCTGCTCTTCGAACAGGAGTTGTGAGTCCAAGAAATCCCCTAGATTATGCACAGGATCTGTTTGGGGTAATGTCACCCCATCGAAGACCAAAGGTGGCAATTCTCCCTGAGCCAACAAACCTCAAACCCAGAGTCACTTGGTTTTGCAACAGTTTAGTTTCAACCTGTTGCTCCCCATCTAGCCCCTAACAGCCTCCAGGCACTGTGAGAGGGAAGACACAGCAACACTTAACTCACCGCGGGGCGAGACATACAACTGAGTATCATCAGCATATTGGTGATACCTCAGTCCATGGTGATGGATGATCTCACCCAGTGACTTCGTAGAAATGTTGAAAAGGAACGGAGAGAGTACCAAGCCCTGCAGAACCCTGTAAAGCAGTGGGCAAGGGCTGGATCTCTCCCCTCCTATCAACACTGACTGAGAGTGGTCACAGAGGAAGGAAGTGAACCAGGACAGCACAAGGCCTCCCACTCCTATCCCCAGGAGAATCCCATGGTCAATGGTATCAAAAGCCACCGAGAGGTCAAGTAGAGCAAGGATGGATGCACTACCCCCATCCCGCTTCTGCCGTTTCATCCAGAAACCTCTGGAGCTGCTGTGCAACG